AGGGATGAGACTTATCAGTCACCTCTGGAGACATTTCCGGAAGCTGCAGAAAGCCCCCATGCCTGGAAGGCACAGAACCCGGCTGTGTTATTTTAGGTTAATGCCTACACTTCCTGAAAGAATGAATGTACCTGTGGCTCACAGACCCCACGTGTATCAAATGTCTCTCATTGTTCACCCCAAATAAACTCTGCTGGAAGAGGGGTGGGGCTCGTGGGGGTGAATAAGAGGGGAGGTGGGCAGAGGGCAGGGGGCGGAGGGAAGAGTGCCAGCTGGGGGTTCACAGGAAAGGTGGGTGAGGCTACGTCGCTGGTGTGTGAGTGTCCTGGGGAGACTGGGGCGCCCTCCAACAACTGAACATTATTTTCTCACAGTCCTGGAGGCCAGAAGTCTGAAACCAAGGTGTCGGCGGCATGGTTCCTTCTGAAGGCTCAGACGGAGACTCCTACCTTGCCTCTTCCAGTTTCTGGTGTAGCCCCCAACGCTTGGCGTCCCTCAGCTTGTGGACGCATCACTCCAGTCTCTGTCTTGCTTACATCTGCAAAGACTCTGTTTCCAAATAAAGTCAGATTCACAGGGACCGGGGTTTTTAGGACTTGGGCATATCTTCTGACATACCATTCAGCCCATTACATGCAGTCACCTTGTCCAAGGGCATCTCACTTCCGTTTCCTCGTTGGCAAACCACGCTGGATCTGGACTGGACAAGAGGTTGTCCACCTTGCTGCCCCTTGAACGCCCCCCGCCCTGCACCAGGTGCCTTAAAGAAAGAGGGTCCTGCCCCTCCCCCAGAGGTCCTAAGCTCTTTCCTCAGCTAGTGTGGGGACTGGTATTTCTTAATGAGATTCCCAGTAGTTGACAAACTCATCGTGGTTTTCACAGGACTTTCCTGGGGTTTGCAGTGAAAGTCCCACATCCTGAGAAGTACCTGAAGCCTGGCAAACCAGGACGGTTGGTTATTCTATCTCTAGGGCAGCAGGGGTGAGAGCCACCAGAATTGACCCCTCTGAGGAGGGGCAGTGAGGCAGCCACCGGGGATGTCGCCCCACCTACCACTTGCTTACTCCTTCCCTCCGCCTCAGTGGTGGCTTTGCCCAAAGCAGAGGGTGTAGCACACCTGCCTCCAGGTGCTGCAGTTATAGCTGGATGTCCATTTAGAGGCAGCCGGCGGGAGCAGAACGTGCTCAAGCTTTTGTGTGCCCTGGAGGGACCTGAGCCCCTGGGGACCCACCCTGAACAGCCTGAGAAGTTTGGAGCGAGGCTAGCAGGCGCCTGCACTTCCATTAAGCCCATCCGCAGGATTCGGATGTGGGTGGTCCTCACCGCGCCCCGGGGAACATGGCTTTAGGTAATCGGTGTGACAGAGGGCAGCCTGGACTGGGTCAGAAGCTGGGCCCGATTGCTTAGGGTGTCTTCCAAACACAACATTCTTACAACTTCATCATGGCCATCCATCATGGCTAGTGTCCCTGGAAATAACCCCTCAGAGACGGGGGCGCCTCCCCACCTCCAGCATGGCCTCACCAACTGGTAACGAGCAGAGCAGTCTCCAGACTCCACGCTGTCCCCGTCCAGAGCCCCCCAGTTCCCCTGTGCCCCACGGCAGTTCTCACCTCCATCCCCACACCTCTGCCACCCAAGCCTCTTCTGTGCATCCTCCCCCGCCCCCCACCCCGGGCCAGGTAAGGCAGGCCCCGCACGGCCCCTCCCACCCGCCCCTCTTGGATGGTGGTCGCCAGGGCTGCGCAGGGAACAGGATTCCAGGCAGCAGGCTGTGAGCAAGGCTGCCCACGCCGTCCCTGGCCAGACAATATCTGGAGTCCCTCAATGGCCCTGCACATCTGTCCCTTGGGACACAATGCCACATCCCAGGATGGCGCTGCACGCGTGTACATCTTGGCCTGCAGGGTAACGACAGATGTGATCTTGTAGTGGAGTCTGTCGAACCACTGTTCATAGGACCACAGAACTCAGAACCAGAGATGAGAAAGGCCCTTTGGAGGTCACCTAGTTCAATCTGGTCCTCTTCCAGAGGAGGAAGTGGGCAGAGATTGGCCCAGACTCTGTCACCAATGGCAGGGAGCACAGGTCGGGTCCGCGGAGACACCGGTTCCAGGGTCGGGGAGCTCAAGCTTATCCTGCGTGTTTGTGCGTGTGTGTGAGCGTGCAAAGGTGTGTGTCTGTATGTACACATGCACGTGTGAGCATCTGATTGTGCAAGCCTGCAAGTGTTGTGAGTCTGTCTACACACACACGTGTGAGTTCACGGATACATTCACATGTGCGTGTGAGAGTGTAGATGTGTGTGAGCGATTGTGCATAGGTGAGTGAGTGTGTGAGTGTGCACACATGACTGCAGCCATGTGTGAGTGTGTGTATACATATAAGTGTGTGTATACATATAAGTGTGAGTGTGAATATGTCTGCACACCAGTGTGAGTTTGTGAGTGTCAATGAGTGTGTGTGTATCTTTAGGTCTAGCCCGGCACCCTGCTGGATTCCCCCAGTTCCCCAGTTCTTGGACGCGGTGTAGGCAAGATGCTGGATTTTCTGCCCCAAAAGAGGGACCTGGGGGCTCTTTGCTGGATGGACCCGTGACCAGACACACCCAGACATGACGTCCTGGAGGGACATCCTCCTCCCCGCTGGTTAGAGTGGACGGTTATTTCTCCTCAAAGCATTTGCCTGGAAGAGTCAAATGTGGAAAATCCCTGTGGCCGTGATGCAGAAAAAATACACTGGAGGGAAACACCTCTCTGTGGATGAACTAGAAACAACCCGCACGCTTACCCTTTCTATGCCCGTAGGATATGAACGGGAAGGTGAGAGAGGACAGAGCTAGGAAGAGGCTGCCAATTTTGAGGGTTTATTTTTTTAAATCATATGAGTTTCGATATAAAGAGAAAGCATGATGTAACAACATTTTATGGACACCTTCCAAACAGCAGGAAGCGCCCAGCTGGTAAAATGTCTTGACTTTGCTCCCCTCTCTTGGAGCTGTGGCCAGACAGGGAGTGGAGTGGACTGTGAAGGATGTGGGCTTCGGGGCTGAACCCCACTCATTGGCTGTGTGGCCCCTCAGACCCTCTGTTTCTTTATCTGTACAACGGGGATAAGGGACCTACTTTGCAGGGTGTTTCTGAAGATGAGAAAAAATGGTGCATGCACAGGGCCAATTTTGAGCTTTAAAATATAACATTATCTTTGATTCCACCTTCGTATTTTATAGAAGTGCTCATATGCTCTAGTAGCAAAAGCTCTAAGAGATGATAGCATACTGTAACACGGATTCATCTCACATTTTAAATGTTCATATTTTCCTTAATTATAATACTTTTCTGATTTATTCTGTTAGAGCTAGTTAAATTTTATTTTTTGAATATTATATTATAGCTTTAACATGTTTTCTTTTCTTGTTGACACTTTTTTTTTAACCTCCTTTACAGCAGCAGAGTTTATGAGTCAGTCCTGTAGTACTGTTTTTCTATAAAGGGTACTGTCTCCCAGGAGACTTGCATTAAGCCCCTTAGCTGCGTGATTATTTCCAGCTCCTTTTTTTGTCTTCTTGTCCTGGCATCTGTGATCTAGTCATTAACCAGGCAAATGCAGCAGTTAGTCATCTCAGAAATTAATCTCCCGAGAATAAAAGACGTACTGATGTCCTTTGGGAGTTAGGCTAGAAGGGCCCTTCTGGCAGAACTGTTTTTTATTTTGAACACAAGGGAATTATCCTTCTGAAACATGTAGCCAAGATGGATCTTTGTTACCCTACTTGAAAGTTTTCTCAGTAGAACTAATGAGACCTTCATCTAATGTTAATAATTGTGCCAAACAATGAAAGACAGCCCAACAGAGGAATAAGGACGTGTCATCAACTAGGAAGTTTTTTTTTTTTTTTTTGCGGTACGCGGGCCTCTCACTGTTGTGGCCTCTCCCGTTGCAGAGCACAGGCTCCGGATGGGCAGGCTCAGCGGCCATGGCTCACGGGCCCAGCCGCTCCACGGCATGTGGGATCTTCCCAGACCGGGGCACGAGCCCGCGTCCCCCGCATCGGCAGGCAGACTCTCAACCACTGCGCCACCAGGGAAGCCCAACTAGGAAGTATTTGATACGAAATTAAAAAATCCAGTTCACACAACACACGATGGTTATGGAAATAAAACATAAATCAGCTATCATTCTGTCATCCCTCACCGTGTTTTAGTCCTCTGGTCCTTTCTGGATTGGGCCCAATTTTATAGAATCATAGAGTTGTTGTCTTTTTGGCGACAGAACTGTATGAGGTGCTGTTTTGATTTCACATGATGAGGTGCCGTTTCCACGCCGCTAAACGTCTTCATGGGGAGCACATCTGGGTGATGCTACATCCAGATGCTCTATAACAACTTACTCTCCCCTCCTCCCCCGAAGGCTCACTTCCACGCTTTGCCGGTTTAAATTCTGGCAAGTAATAAACATCTCTGAGACTGCAGCTTCATGGCCCTCAGACCAAGCCTCGGGAAGGGATCACTGGGTCATAGGAACATTTTTATGGCTTTTGATCTGTTTTGTCCAATTGTGTGAAGGATGCTTTTCTGAATCTGATGTACCACTTTGATTTGCTGCTGTTTTCTCCTGCCAGTTTGGGACGATAAGGTAAGAGAATACTTTGGACTTGATGAAGGGAGTCAGATTCAGGTCTGAAATGTGTTTTCTGCGTAACAACGAGATGGGACCCAGAGATGCAGCCTGGCAGTTGGGTACTCACCTTTCCTGAAAGATGCCATCTGCCTGGAGGGAGAATGGGCTGTGACACGCAGGTGCCCCGAGGGACACTGCTGCGGCAGTGGTGGGTGTTTACGAGCAGACATAAGGGAACGCTCCCGGTGAGTGCACCCTCTGAAGCCACTGCCACTGTCGGCGGCGCAGGGAAGGGAAGGGCCCTTTTTCTGGGTCCAGGTGGCCCAGGCCCCTTTGTGCTGCCGCTTGGGAGAGGCCAGAGCCACTGCCACCGCCCTACCATGCTCAGGACCCTTGTGCTGGCGCTGCTGGCTCTGGTCACCGCCGTGGGCCCGAGCCAGGCCAGTGGCTTCACAGGTGAGGTGTCCGGGCTCTGTGCGGGGATGCCGGAGGGGTGATGGGCTCCCTGGGAGTGGGCCCCTTGAAGACGGCAGCCCTGCCGAGAGCTGGGCAGGCAAAGATGCACCTGCTTTGAGAGGCAGGGTCTGCCCCTTCTTGGCCATACTTTTTCATAACCACAAAAGAGGTGTTGGGAATGCTTCCGAATCACCTGGGGCTCGGTGGGGTTCAAGTGTGGATTCTGAGTCAGTGGGTCTGGGAGGGGCCCGGAACTCTGCATTTCTGCTGGGGGTACAGATGTTACAGGCCCTCTGGCCACACTGAGAGTAACACATTCCTGGAGAGTCAGAATCGAACCCTCTGGAACCACAGCCCATTAGTCTTCACCTTACAGATAAGGAGAGGGAGACCCAGAGTGGCCAGGGCCACAAAGCCGGCCGAGGGCAAGGTTTCCACCAGGGCTACCCCTGCCTTTGACCCTGGCTCAGACCTCCTTTGCCTGCCAGAGAGCGGGGATCAAGAAGTGGGGCTTCCCGCTCACCTTGGGCTCTGCCAGCCCCGTTTCCTCAGCAAGTGAAGATGCGAGTGGCCCACGGGGACGTGAGGGACCAAGCACGTGTCCAAGGCCCTTGAGAGACACATGTCAGCTACTAAAAACACGTTGGATTTCTGAAGCCCCAGATTTCAGAGAATTGAGATTGCAAACCTTTTACATCATTTTCCTATAGAAATCCATCTTATTCCGTTGGGAATTCAAACAGAGCCATTCTGTTTCTACCATCGACTTCAGTTTTGTACTAATTTAAACATTTTTCACCCATGGGCAGGATTCTGTGATTTTTTTCTTTCTAATGAATTGTGATTAAAAAAAACAACAACTTGATATTTCCTTTGGAATGACTACTATGCAAACCATACAGCTCAGTGGCAGAACGAATGGGAATGTCTGGAAGCCAGAGGAGGTCTTAGGAGGCATTTCATGTGCGGGAGGACCCCGGCAGGAGCGCTAGGTGGTCCATCAGGGCTGCACGTCTGTTTGCTCCCAGGTACCACATGCTCCGGTACAGGCGTGATTTCATTTAATTCTCCTACAACCTCAGGCACAGCTATGATTCCACAAATGACAAGGCTGGGGCACCGAGAGGGCATGAAACGTGCTTAGAATCACACGGCTGGTATTAGTGAAGCTGGTGTGAATGCAGTTCTGACCCCAGAGCCCACCAGAACATTAAGATTTTCTACCTCTGGGATTAGAACCCAGGGCCCCTGCCTCCTGTGCTCCTGAAAGGATTTGTTGAGCAGCAGGATCTGCTAAGAGGTTTCTACTGCGAGCTCTGCCAAGAAACCAGGCCTGGGGAAAACTTGGTGGCCTCTCATAGAATGTGAAAAACAGAACATGGAGATCCAAGTGCAGTTTCACTTGGAAGGAGGAGTGTGTGCACGTGCACGCGCGCGCACGTGTGCATGTTCTTGCGAACACATGCAAGGCGCCATAGCTCAACTAGTGACCACGTTCCACTGTGGCGTCTTCTCCAGCCCCTCATCCCAGTCACCTCAGCCAGCCAAGGGCCTCTTACTCCCTCCCAAAGCTTCCTGGGACTCGCCCTTTGGTGAATACAGGTCGGGTCTACTCCCAGAGGCCCTGCCACCCCAGGGGAGGCCACCATGTGGCTTGGGAGTGGGCTTGCTCTGGGGCGGTGGGCTTCAGCACTCGATTCTGCCCAGAGTAAGGCTGTAGGCTCTCCCAGCAGCCTGGGCATGAGGGCTGGATCGGCCCCATTTCTTCCTGGAGTCACCGGCCCCCAAGTCTCGCTTTCTGCATGCTTGTGGGCGACCCTGAGGCCAAAGCTGGAAATCTTCAGGGGTGCTGTCCTGGGGGTGGGGATGAAGATGATTTCTCCTGCCCGCTCTGAGTTTCGCCCCAGAAATCCACCTCCTCACTGAAGGGTTTACACTGCAACATGGAGCCCCTACCCAGCGGCTGTACAGTCTCCTAAAGCTTAGAGCTCAGAGCTTGAGTATCTGAAAACGTGAATTACATTCAAAGCATTCATTCATCCTTCACTGACAGCCCAGGAACGCAGCAAGTCCCACGCTGGCCACAGACGTGGGAGGCACCCCACGGCCCTCCTGTCAGTTCCCTGGGGCTGCCTCAGCAAAGCCCCACAGCCTGGGGGGCTTAGTGGTAGAGATTTATTTCTTCACAGTCTGGAGGCCAGAGGTTCAAGGTCAAGGTGTTGGCAGGGTTGGTTCCTCCTGAGTCTGGGAGGGAGAATCTGTCCCCGACACACGTCTCCACTGCTGCTGATTTTAGTGACCCCTGTGGCTTGTAGATGCATCACCTTGATCTACGCCTTCGTCTCCTATTGCATCTCCCTGTGTGCATTCCTGTCTCTGTGTCCAAATTTTCCCTCTCATAAGGATGCCAGTCCTTAGGATGAGGGGCCACCTTATGGTGTAGGGGCCACCCTACACTAATACCACCTCATCTTAACTAATTATGTCTGCAAAAACCCTTTTTCCAAGTACAGTCACATTCTGTGGTACTGGGATTTAGAACTTGAACTTACGAATTTGGGATGGGACATATTTCAGCCCTCACACGGTCCCTGATCTATGAGGCAACAGAGGCACCCTGGGCAGATGGGACACCCCAGGACCCCATGGCAGGTGGTCCACGACATAGGGGTCTGAGGCTGATGAAGGTAGGAGGTGATATGGGGTCTCGAGAACCAAGGATAATGCTGATAAAGGCCATGGACATCTGTGCCCAGGAACCAGGCTCCAGGTGAGAGATACCTAGGGCCTGAAAAGGCCACCTGGATGTCCCACCTCGGGCACTGTGCCCTCAGTCCCGCTGACCACAGCAACGGTCGGACTGAACTTTACCATCTATGAACTTCTCACGTGTATTTGACTTGTGTGTTTATCTTTCATCTCATTCCAAAAAAGTGGTGTCACTGCCAGCGTGCCCAGCACTTAGTAGGCCTTCACTATGTATTCACTGAGGGAACCGCTGTGTATTCACGTCGCACGTGACAGCCCTTATTGCGGAGATACGAGGTGTGCGCAGGGCTCTTCAGCCCGCAGAGTCAGAGAACACGCAGCAGAGCCCAGGACTCGAGTCCCAGAAGCTAGGTTTCTCTGTGTCCCCTTCTGTGTACCGTCAGACCCCTGGGTGCGGGGAGCCGGGGTCGGGCTGGGGTAGCATCTCCTGCTCTGTTGGGGAGGATTGCTCAGCCAGCAGGTGTCATGCCGCATCCCTTGAGTCTATGCTACTGCATCGCCTTCTTGGATACCGGCCGGTGGGCAGATCCCAAGGGGTCCGCCGTGTGCGGGCGTCTTGTTTCACCTGCTCTTGCAGAAGCAGAGGACTTGCAGAGAAAACCCCTCAGATTGGTTTGATTCTGGCACTTTCCCCTCTTGTTTCTCCATCCTCCTCCCTCCCTCGTAGAAAAAGGCCTCTCCCTGCTGAGCTACCAGCTGTGCAACTACAGTGTGAGCCAGAATGTCCAGAGCATGGAGGCAGTGCACACATCCCACCTGACCTACGTTCCCTGCGGCTGGTGGGTCCCCTGGCGGCGCTGCCCCAAGACCGTCTACCGGACCCAGTACCTGGTGGTGGAGGTTCCTAAGCGGAGGAACGTGACCGACTGCTGCGAAGGCTACGAGCAGCTGGGCCTCTACTGCGTCCTGCGTGAGTCCTGCCCCGTCTTGGGATAGTCACTGTTCATGCCCCCTGGCCCTGAACTGACTAGAACACTGGTTCTCAGCCTCAGGTGTGCATCAGGGTCATCCAGAGGGCCCGTCTAAGCACAGGCCTCACCCCGGATTTCAGGCCCAGGGGGGCTTCCCAGGGGACGGTGATGCTACCGGCCTGAGCCCCACTCTGGGAACCTCTGTTTTGGGTGGTGGCTCTCAGACCTGGCTGCACACCAAAGTCCCCGGGGCAGCTTTAATAACGATGACGCCTGGGTCCCCCTTCAGACACTCTGATGGATTCAGTCTGGGGCGTAGCTTGGGGTCCCTGGGATATTTCTTAAAGCTCCCCCAGCCATTCTAACGGGCAGCTGAGTTTGAGAACAGCATATTGCGATCTCTTTCGTAATGGCAGCCAGCCTTGTCATTCTAAAGGCTGTGAAACCCTAGTCTGAACCCCAATCTGTGAAAGAGATGGAAAGGGTCCCCTGGGGCCCCCGTAACTGTCCAGAGGCCTCCAAGGCCTCTTACTCCCTCTGTGTGGTTTAAAAGATGCTTGGGGCGGCGACCAGCCATGCTGAGGCTGTCCCAGGCTCATCTGGGGCCGGGCGGACAGGGCTGTGTGGCGTTCAGGGCTCAGCCTCTCGACATGGAGGGAACTTTCCAGAAGGCCTCTTCCGGGGGCAAGGGTGCAGGTGTGTGCTTGTGTGAATATGTTGTGGGTGGTGGTGATTGTTTGAATCAGTTTCAGAGCTGAGTTTCTGAACAGGCAGGAGGCCCGCCTACACCCACCCCCGTGGTGGAGGGGAAGTGGGAAGGGTGGCAATAGGGCACCCTGAGACATGAGGCTGCCGCCTCCAAAATGCAGAAAGCACCAGCTCGCAGGGTGTGAGAGCAGCTCCCGTGACCCGTCCATCCCCGGGGTCCTGGGCAGCAGGACAGCCGCAGGCTAGGGCGTGGACACGACACACCAGGGGCACCAGCCCCCCAGCCCCAGGGGCTATCAGATGTAGAGTCTTGGGTCCCTCAGACCCTGCAGATGGGCTGGGCCTGCAGTTATCCTGAGCGCATCCTCCCTCAGCCTCCAAAGCCCGTGGAGGACGTGGTGGCTGACATGTGCACTCATGCAGCTCAGAGGCCCAGGCCCCGAGATGACCGGACCGCTCAGGGTTGAGCAGGTCACAGGAACACACCTCTTCTGGGAGTGTTAAAACGACACCACGCCACCAATGCCGCCACCACCAATAAAAACCAGGAAGGGCCAGCTGGCCTCAGGTCCGCGGCTGGGTGCCTGTTGTGTATTCCCGCTGATTCCCTGAAGGGACACTTGCAGGGGCGGTGCTGGGTCTGAGGAGTCCCTTCCCATGGTGACCATGGCTCCCTGTCTGCCGTCCCTGTCTCCAAGGGCCCCATGCACAGCAGTAGCTGCCTCTGCCCTGGGAGCACGCTCTTCTGGGGCTGGGGGTCCCGGGTCGGGGAGGCCTCAGGCGGGGTGCACGGCACTTGGTTTGGAGCATCAGATCCTGGTCGAAGGAGGGGGCCGCCCTAGCCCACACGCCTTCCTCCCGCAGAGGCCACACTCTCCGCACCTGCTGTCGGTCTGTCGTGGGGCTGGTGAGGTCACAGGTCTAGAGGGCCGGAGGGGCCCCCAGGAGAGGCTGAGCCCCCCAGCCCCGCCCAGCCCGAGCGGTCAGCTCTCTGTGCGGCCTGCTGCCCTCCCCCCAGGAGAGAAGGCGGGAGGCACCTGCTTTCTGGGAAGCAGGGACGCAAGCTCATCTTGCTTCCCAGCGAACCAGCCTCCCGTGGGACTGAGCCCCACTTTTAAAGTGTTAGCGCCTTTATATAGGGGCTCACTAGGCAGGAGAGGCCCAGAACATTCTAGCTAGAGTCCCGTGGGCAGATCTGCTCTGGGGAAGCGCAGGTCATGGGGCGGCCGGTGTTGGGCGGGGGGATGGTGTGGGAGGCACTGGGGGCAAGGGGACGACTCACCCCGAAGGCCCCCAGGCCCGGCAGAGGGGGCTGAATTGGGGTGGGGTGGGGTCCACAGTCCCCCCTCCCCGGGCCTTGGAAGGGTCACTCTGGAAGCAGCGTGGAGAGGACGCAGGCAGGATCCCCGAAGGAAGGAGGAGAGAGAGGAAAAGGGGCCTGTAAAGGCCAGAGGGAGATTCCTGGTCGCTACGGACGGGAGCAGACGGAGACACAGACCTGGGGAGGTGGGTGACTTGAACCCCTGTGGGATTTAGTTGGTGACGTTTGAGGAAGGGGCTGTGGAGCACGTGGGAGGGGCACAGTGAGGAGGAACGTCCAGGCACACGGCCCACTGGACACCTGCTCGGGCAGGTCCCGGCTTGCTGCCTGGGCCCCGCTTGGCACTGCAGCTGCTGCGGGGCTGCCCTGTGACCACCGGGGAGGGCATGAGGGGGCTGCAGCGCTTGTTCCTGCGGCTGGGGAGGCCTCCAGTGAGCCTCGGTCTCCCCCCACCTCCGAGCTCAGGGACATCACGTGGGCAGCTAGAAAGTGCCTGGTGGGAAATATTTACACCACGGGCACCGGCAGCTCAGCTTTCTCCACACCTGCCTGGCTCCTCGGATCAAAGCTGGTGCAGAGATGCCTCATGACGGCCTGGCTGTCTGGAGCCAGAAGCGAGAGGTCCCTGTAAGTGATGTGCTGAGACCCACTGGTTGATTGGCACAGAGGAGGCTGGGGCCACAGCCTGGATGTGGCAGCCTGGGCACCTGGGGATGAGAGGCAGGCAGACGGCACTCGCCTCTGGGCCGCCCGGGGGTGGGGTTTCTTATGTCTCAGCAACCTGAGCTCAGCGGTCTCATCCCCGGCAGCAGGAAACCTCAGCTTTCCTTTCTTCTCTGTCTTCCCACTCAACAGTCAAGAACCCAAAAAAGGGAAGAGCATTACGTGAGAAGAGAACACGTGATTTTTTTTTTCAGTCTCAATGCCTTTTTCAATTTTTTAAAGTCCCACATTTGGGAGGCCATGATAAGTCCTATATGATTTTAGTTGTGGGAAGGCCATGATAAGTCCTATATGATTTTAGTTGTGGGAAGGCCATGATAAGTCATATATGATTTTAGTTAAGTGTATTTTTACAGTACAAAAACGAATACACAAGCAACGTAGAAAATTTGGAGACAAAGAAAAGGGAAATTGCCCGTAAGTCTGCCCTCCCCCCGCCCCCCCCAAACAACCC